CCTCGAGCCCCGAGCCCCGAGCCCGGCCGCGCCGCGCGGGGGAGCGCGGCGACAGTCACCCGAAAGGAGGCCGTAATCATCAGCCCTGCAAGGCTCTCCTGTGGCCAGAACCAGCTGGTAGGTATTTCCCAGGTTCGGTACCTGGGCATCTTGCTGGGGGCCACGTGGAAATTTCTCAACCCCCTGACATCCCTGGCAGGAGAAGCAGGGAGCAGCTTTGGAGCCTCCCCACACCAAGGCCACATGTGTCGGCGGTGACAGATGATGGTCAAAGAGTGACCCTGGGCCTGCTATGTCTTTCTTGACATCTGCATGTTACACTCTAAGCACGGGTCAACTCATGGGCAAAAGCAGGCCTATCTGTACGTGCTCACAGTTTCAGGCAGGAGATGACAAGTGATTTGAAACAAGGGATATACACAAGTTAAAGTACCAGAAATGGTAAAGAGGACAAAATCTTGATGCTGTTACCAACAAGAGCTACTCCCAGGGTAAATTCCCCTGTGATTAACTGCGCTTTCAAGGCATTTTTCATCTACGTGTATAAACACGTATCTTCACCAGTCAGTATCATTTGAAGACAAGCACTATTATACCAGTTTAGAGATGCATAAACCTGACTGACAGAGCTCGGAAGGAGGATGGTGGAAAAACTCCTGCTTTACAAAGAGGATTATTATGCGCAGCACAAGAGGAAGTGATTTGCATGCCGTGTATCCGAGCACTTTTTACACCCGAAAAAAAAAAGGAAAGGGAAAGCGTGGCGCCTCTGAACACACGCGCTTCAAGCCCGGCTCTCGGTGCCGTGTTTACCCTCCCTTTCAGCGGCGACACCGCGCCGGGCGCCGGGGGCAAAGTCCGCCCGCTGGGCCCTGAGGCAGTGAGCGCCGCTCTCGCCACACGCTCACCCCCCTCGCCGCACGTCCCAGCGCCCAGGCCGTGCCAGGCCTCTCGGCCCGCTGGCGCGAGAGCTCGGCAGCGCCTCGGCCACCAACTCCTCTTAGCCCCTCTTTACGGCAGCCAGGCCTCGTCCCACTTTCTTCCCGTGCCTTTTCCATGCTGCCCGCAGCATCCCCTGGGGGAAGCCAGTGCCTCTGGCCACAGCGTGTGTCACTGGGAGGCTTCTAGGGACGTCTCCTAAACTGGGAGAGCAGCGCCCACCACCGCTATGAAACGAAACCGCCCTGTGGTGGCGGCGGCAAAAGGAACCCTACCTGCTGTCACCCCCATCGAGGGGAGCCCTACCGACCAGGTACCCCCTGCTAGGGGAGTCTCACGCGCCATGTCCCCCATGTAAGGGCATCCGTCCCGCCATCTCTGCCATTGAGGGGAGCCATACCCGCCATCTCCCCCATCGAGGGGAGCCCTACTCGCCATCT